AAATGCTAATCATCACTTAATTTTAGAAAAACCCAAATGAGGACAACAGTGAAATACCATTTCACATGAGTGAGAATAACACATATCAAAAATAGTAGGAACTGTCTGTATTGATGGGGATGTGATGGAAAAGGAACTCTAGTCATTGCTGGTGTGAATGTTGTCTGGTTCAACCTCTGTGGAAAACAGTATGGCGATTCCTCAGTAAATTTAAAATTGAGCTGCCAAATGACCCAGTAATTCCATTTTTGGAATTTGGGCATCTATCCCCAGGACAGAAATTCATTCTAAAGGTTGTATACACACCATTATTCACTGCTGCACTCAGTACAATAGCTAAGATATGGAATCAACCTAGGTGTCCAATGACAGATGAATGGATTATGAAGATGGGTGTGTGTGTGTGTGTGTGTGTGTATTATATAATACAAACAATGGTATATTATGCAGATGCAAGGAAAGATGAAATCATGTAGTTTGCTGCAACATGGTTGGACCTGTAAAATACCACATTGAATGAATTAAGCCAAAAGAAGAAAGACAAATGCAGGATGATCTCACTTACCTGTGTTATATAGAATGACTGTATTAGGAAATGTAATGTAGAAAGAGTTAATGCCTAGATCACCCTTGACCCCAGAGTTTAGGGTGAAGGTCAAAGAAGAAAAGATATCAAGGGAGAAGGAAGAAGATGAAAAATGGGAGTGATGGGGAACAGGGGTTGGGGCCTCAGTTATTCTGGTCATGTAAGAAAATGGTAGAGCATAGCTGTATATCCAAATCACAGACTTAAAACACTGAGAGCATGAGATCTCAGCTGCAACCACTGAACTTTGTAAAGTGCCTGTCCAGGTTGCAGGTGATGTGGGTGAGGGATAGCATATGGGAACACTGGTGGAGGGAAGTTGACACTGGTGGTGGGATTGGTGTTGAAATATTATATGCCTAAAACTCAACTATAAATAACTTTTGTAGATCTAACTTCTTTATTTTTATTTTATTTATTTATTTTTCTTTTTGGGTCACACCCGGCGATGCACAGGAGTTACTCCTGGTTCATGCACTCAGGAATTACTCCTGGCGGTGCTTGGGCGACCATATGGGATGCTGGGAATCGAACCCGGGTCGGCCGCGTGCAAGGCAAACGCACTACCTGCTGTGCTATTGCTCCAGCCCCAATCAAACTTCTTTAAATACAATTTTTTTCTTTTATAAAAGTGGAAAAAAGAATCATTCCTGGTGGTATGTGGGGAACCATATGTGGTGCTGGGAATCCAACCTGGGTTGACTTGTGCAAGTCAGCTGCCTTGTCACTGTCCACTCTCTAGCCTTATATACGACTAATGAAATTTTATTAACTACTAACCAATTTAGAAGTTACAGTGAGCCTGGGACAGTGCATAAGGCTGGATCATGTGCCTTGTATCTGTGAGGCTCTAAGTTTGGTCCATGGTACCATATGGGCCCAGAGTACTGCACATTACAGCCAACCTTGGCATTGCCACATACCCATTCCTGCCCAGCATCACTAAGTGTGGCCTTAGTGGCCTCCAGCAATGCTGGCATCTAGCAGTGCTGCAATGCTAGGCCCAAGTATTGAACTATCCAACCCGGACCTTGAGCAAACTACTCCTGCACCTGCCTATACACCCTCCCCCCAACTACCTCCCACCCCCCCCCCCCCCCCAAAAAAAAAGTTAAGGGCTGGGATGTAGCACATTGGTAGAGAACTTAACTTGCCTTGAGGCCTTGGACTGTGTCCTGGCAAAGCAAGAACAGAACACAAAATTAAGTGTATGAATTGAATTCTGCTCTGGTGATTGCTCTGTTCCCTCCCCTAAGGGAGGGAGCTCTGCTTTCCTGTGTGGCATTATAAGGGGGTGTCAGTTGCCCCTGGTCCCCAGGATCCTGCCCACTTGATTATGCCTGATCGTGGTTGGGAGCCAGGGTGGGTGTTGATTGGCAGGAGCCATTTCTGGGGACCTGGGTGATGGGATTCTGTTGGCCTGCGTTTCCCTGCTTCCTGGGGACCGTGTGCTTGTGGAGGGATCCACATCAGGGTGGTGTTGCTTACCTGGCCGCCTCTGGGGGGTGCTCTTCTGTAGTTGTGTCTGCATCCATGCTTGCTGGGGTCGAGGCCTTACAGTGTGGTTCCCACACACATTCTGGTTGTGGTGCTTGCTTTGCTTGGCAGGCTCCATGCCAGGAGTTATACCCCACAGCCTCAGTGCTCAGCCTCATCTTCTGGAAGTTGCTCGGGGACTGGGGGAGCATAGCCCGAGGGAGCATAGCCAGTGGAACCACCGAGATTGGGTTTGACCTGTCTGGGGCTCCAGGGACTGGCCTTCCAGGTGAAGGCAGGCATTTTTTTGTCATTGATTCTTCTCCCAGCACTCTTCCTTTGTATTGAACAAATTGCCCCTCCCACCTCCCATCCCCAGGGTGGGGAGCTGCTCCCAAACAGTTCTTGGGGAGCCATTTGTCTTGGTGGTGTGGACCTGTGACTCAATACTGTGGCCTGGCACCCCCCAGCAGCGCCTTGGGGCCCTGCAGCAGCAGTGCATGCCAGGCATGCAGGCCAGCCTTTGAGCTCTCTCCCTGGGTCCTTTATTTCCATTTGTAGGCAGCTGCTAACTTGGGTTTGGTGTTGGCTAGAGACATGCTTTATAAAGCATGAGTGTGGCTTTGGGTATTGCTCCAAGTGGAGGAGCATGTGCGTGGCCGGTGCTAGGCCCCAGATTCCAGCGTCGTGAATTTCCCCAGTTCTGCTGGGCTCCAGCACTGACCCATTAGACCTGCCTCACCAGAACATGCTGGGCGGGGGTTGGGGGGGCAGGGGTGGGGGAAGAGATTCTACTGAGTCAGAATTTAGAGTAGGTTTAAGAAAATCATAGAAGAAATGATAGAATTGGTTTTCAAATGTACAGTAACTTTGGGGGGCACTTTGGGGGGCATTCACTGAGGTTTGTAGAGATAATAGTGGCATGAGGGAACAGAGAGCTAGTGCAGGGATTAGACACTTGCTTTGCATGCAGCCAATCCCAGTTTGATCATTGGCACTAGCCCAGCACTGCCCAGCACTGCCAGGAGTGTTCCCTGAGCACTGCTGGATGTTGCCTAAACCTCCTCAAAATAATAAATTAAAAAAATAATAGTGCTACCAATTCAGTCCCATTGTGTGATTTTTTTTTTTCTCTCTGTTAGAACTTAGGTGTCATAGGGCACAAGTAGAAAGTGGGCAGGCTTCATCTAGGACTGAGATTTTTTTCTGGTAGTCGGGAGGGGGGGCATATACGACTATTTAACAAAAAAAGGATAAGAACATGCCTGTTATTGACAGACATTAGAGATGTTCAAAGGAAAGTTAGTACAAGGTGGGTCTGAGAACAGAGAGCAGGCAGCCGTGCCTGGAGGGGAATGGAGTCCAGGAATGAGTCATAGTAGAAATAGTTGAAAACATTTGCCAACAAATGTGATCAGAGAACTGAATGCTTGAATTGGTGACTTTTTTTTTTTATTATGGAGACATAATTGATAAAATTGAATTGGTGATGAAAAATTTATTTTCTTATTTTTTGTTTGTTTGATTTTGGGCCACACCTGGCGATGCTGAGTGATCACTCCTGGCTCTGCATTCAGGTGTTACTCCTGGCGTGCATGGGATGCTGGGGATCGAACCTGAGTTGGCCGCATGCAAGGCAAACACACTGTACTATCACTCTGCCCCACCCCCCCCATTGATTTTACCTTATTTTAATTAATTTTTTTGCCCTCTGTGCTGCTTGGACCCTGCAGTGCCAGAGTTTCCCAGGCCACCCTGTCAGTGCCTGGGGGACATGTGATGAAGGGGATTGAACCGTGTCCCCGTGTATGCTGGGCATGTACTAACTGCTGTACTGTTCAATTGGTGATTTGGGGGTGCAGTGGTTTTGTTCAACAGAATGTCTTTTATGCTGATTATGTAATAGATATTTAATATTCACTCTGTGAATTGTAGTTCATTTCCCCTCCTTGCCTGAATTCCAGATGGCGCACTGTCAGCATTGCCTCCGAGCTTTGCAGTGGTGTTGGGGCCTTGAACTCAGTTCGGCTCACTGGGCATGTGCCAGCAGCTGCTGAACTATCGTCTGTATAATTCTTTTGTAGCATCTTCCAATATCTGAGGGTCACGCTCTTTTACATAAAGGAATGAGATTTTCCTTCCATTGCTAGGCGGACAAATGTTGGAAGTTCTAGATGACTATACATAATTCATGTTGGTGAATTAGTACTATCATTTGCATACGGTCCTATTCCTAATCTTAACATTTTCTAGTTTTCTAGCAAGAATTATTTTTCTAATCTGCTCATAATTATAGGTACTTTCTTTAAGAAAACAAAACAGGTCTTACAACTTCAGTGTCTTTAGTCTTCCAAGCATTGCTCAGAGATCCAGAGCTGGAGACAATCAGCTGGGCAAGAGGGCTCAGTGCTCATGCCCAAGGAATTGGTGCTCCTCAAGATCTGGGTCTCCAGGACTGAAAGTCCAGTGTGCTCTAAGGTCTCCAGGACTGAAAGTCCAATGTGCTCTAAGGCACTACCAGGGACCCCTGATGAGGCTTGGGAGTCTCCAGGTCTACACCTGGTGGTGCTAGAGGCCTCAGGACTGCACCGGGCGGTGTGGGGCTAGAGTGGCATGCAATGCCAGAGTTCTGACATGTGCCTGGACTCTTGATGGTTTCAGTTTGCTGCTTCTCTTTTCCTTCCTCCCTCTTCTCTTCTTCCTTTCTCCTTCCCTTTCTTCCTCCCCTCCTTCTTCTTCCTCTTTCTCTCCTCCTTCCTGCCCTCCTTCTTCTTCTCCTCTCCTTCCTTCCTCACTCCCCTCCTTCTTCCTGCCTTCCTCTCCTCTCCTGTCCTCTCTTCCCTTCTCCTCCCCCTCCCCTTCTCCCTTCTCCTTCATGCATGCAAACCACGCACTCCATGACTGAGTTCTATTTCTGATCTCTTTAAGTACAAACGATACTCTTTAGTCTGAGAGCCATACAGGATTGTTAGTACCTTAGAGCACACTGGACTTTCAGTAAAAGCATCCTCTAGGAAGCTGAGGCGTGATGGCTGAAGCTCCAGCAATTTATGTGCAATTTTCCTCCGACAGTTCCTGTTGGTACAGGAATAAAGACCAGGCAGTGTCCTTATCTATTTGTAATAGTAAGAGAAGCTCCGCAGTCACACTTGGGATATTGTTTAACAGATGACGTGCTTTCTTTTGCACACTACTGCTGCCAATTAAAAATAAATCAGTATACCAATTCCTTTCTTGAGGGATGGGAGCAATAACTAAAAGAGCTAGGATACATGCTTTGCATGGTCTGGATTTGATCCCTGGCTCCACGATGGTCCCCTAAGCATCCGCAGGTGTGTGCTCCCACCAAATGATATTATGATATTATATATATATATAACTTTTATATATATCTGGGTATACACACACATACACACACACACACATATATATATATACACACATATATATATATATATTACTTTCGGATGTTTGGGCCACACACACAGTGGTGCTGGTGCTCAGGACTTATTCCTGTCTCTGTGCTCAGGTATTATTCCTGGTGGTGCTCAGGGGGATAATATGTGGTACTGGAGATGGAACCTGAGTCAGCCATGTGTAGGACAAGCACCTTACTTGCTGTACTATTGCTTCAGCCCCTATGAAATGTTTCTTAATTCAAAAAGAAAATGGGCTGATGGGAAAGCTCAAAGGGCGAGTATTCATTCTTTGTATGGGGGAAGTCTGGGTTCGATTCCTGACACTGCATGGTCCACGACCTTAGGGAGCAGAGTGCTCCAGTGAGTAACAAGCTGGGAGTAGCCCCTGAGCACCCCTGAGTGTGGCCCCCCTCCAAAAAAAACAAACAGCAGAAACCCCAATAAAGCAATTATTACACAAATGCCATTACAAAGTGTTGTTTTTTCTTGATTTACATGGTTTTCTTTTTTTTCCCCCGTTGCTGCTTTGTGCTCCTAATGCAGATACATCGAGAAACTTAGAATTTCACGAAATACATAGCACTGGAAATGAGCCACCGCTGCTGGTTATGATCGGCTACAGTGATGGAATGCAGGTCTGGAGCATCCCTGTAAGTATGGAGAGAGTGGCCTTCGGTAGCACTGTTTCCAGCATGCCTGCTGATGGTACATCGGCCATGCTGTCACCGGGTCTCGGCCATTAATTTCACCAGCACTCGCTAAGAGACACCCTGTGTGCAGCGCCACACATGCGCAAGGAGTGAGGAGCAGGTGGGAAGTCAGAGAGGCTTGGAGTGATGTGTCCAGGGGCGGGTATAGTGGGAATCACATTATAGGCACAACTGTTGTTTTTTCTTTAGGTGACTCTTAACAATAGGTATCATTGTACTCCCGCCCTTTCCTCCACCCCCGTTTTACTAAGTAGTAAACAGGCTTGCACAGTGCCTTTTATTTTCTCTACTTGGGGTTACCCCTGGAGGTGTTTGGGGGTTGGGAATCTATCCTGGACTTCTCTGGAACTAATTGACTGGTTCTGCCGTTTATTTTATTAATAAAAAAAAGTCTCCTACCCTGTGTCTGACTATCCTCGCCAGGGCCCAACAGCTGAAGACCTCCAGGCCCCAACCAAGGCCTTACTGGGGCCACTCTCCACACACTTGGATAAGCCTCAGACATAACAGAACTGGCAGAGGAACCCAGGTGTGTGGGACCCGGGGCTGAGATCTCCAAGCCTGCACGGTTTGGGACTGGACCTGTCAGTAGCTAGACAGTTACACCCTCCAACTGCCGTGTAACCCCAACAACGGCCAGGATCCAGAGATTATCACAACAAGCTCCCGGGAGCGCGCGGCCGCATTCACGGCCGCGAGACTATTTATTTACTTTTCTCTTAAGTTTTCAGGGTACCTTAAATATCCAACCCGCACGGCAGAGCCTGGCAAGCTATCCGTGGTCTATGCCAAATAGACCAAATTGATATGCCAAATCCAGTAATAAATGGATCTCATTTCCCTAACCCTGAATATGCAGAGTCGAGAAGGATATGGAAGGAGAGGCTGATAAAACACCAAGGCAGACATAGGCTGCCAAAACGCAGAAAAACAAAAATGATTGTCTGTACTTTTAATGCTCATACGCTGGCATCTGCTGCATCCATTGAAGACCTTATGGTACAAGCGCGAAAGATCAAGTACGACATCATTGGTCTGACCGAAACGAGAAGACATCAATCCCATCATGCTGTTTTCGACACTGGAGAAGAACTGTTCCTTGGAACATGTGATAAAAGAGGCGTCGGTGGTGTCGGTATCCTTGTCAACACAAACTTAGTCACGAGCATTGATTCATTCGAATGCCTAACAACCCGAATCGGACGATTACACTTGAATAAATGTGGCTCACTACCGGCAGTTTCTATCTTTGTTGTCTATGCACCAACATCCAGTTATGGTGAAAGAGAAACTGAGAAATTCTACATGGAGCTGGAGAAGTTCTATAAAGAAGATCACACCTTCTACAAGATCATTGTTGGTGATTTTAATGCCAAGATAGGACCAAGAAGATCAGTCGATGAACTCCACATCGGAACCCATGGCCTGGAATGGAACGAACAGGGTGACAGACTGTCTGAGTTCATCATGTCAACCAAAACCTTCCATGGTAACTCACAATTCCAAAAGGCTGAATCTAAATGTTGGACATGGGAGTCTCCCGATGGACGGTTCCACAATGAAATAGACCACATCATATTCAATCGGCGGTTTTGCCTAACTGATGTTGCTGTTGTCCCAAAATTCCAAACGGGATCAGACCACCGTCTTCTTCGTGCAAAATTCTACCTCACAGAACGAGGAGAAAAGAATGCAAGGTTTAAGAAGAGGACTCCCAGAACAACCACCAACTGGGAGCTCTTTGGCTCTATTGCGGCAACATGGGAAGATACCGTCATTGACAACATTGATGAGGAATACGATCGAATGATTCAGAACCTCCATGATTGTGCAAGGAATGCCAAGAGAGAGATAACCACAAAAAACCGTCTTTCTTCGAACACTCTTGAACTTATTCGCCAACGTGGCTTGGCACATGCCTCAGGCAACCACAAGCGAACATCCGAACTGGCAAAACAGTGCAGAGAAGCCATCAAGGATGACCTCAAAAACAGGAGAGCAGCAGTACTGGTAGATGCAGCAGAAGCTGGGAAAAACATTCGTAATGCCCGCCTGTCCTTCACCAACTACAAAACCAAGATGACTGCCCTCCGACATCATGATGGATCTATCACATCTTCCAGAAGGGAAATGAAGAAGATTATTCATGACTTCTACTCAGATCTCTTTAATAGCCACATCCACTTGCCCACATACCACATACCACATGATGGATATGTCGTTCCCAATGTTCTCCCTTCCGAAATCCAACATGCCATCTCGTCGGTAAGGAAACAAAGAGTACCTGGCCCAGACAAGATCAGACCTGAACACCTGAAGAACTTACCATCAGTACTCATCAATACATTGGCTCGACTCTTCACACGCTACCTGTCTGAATGCAAGGTTCCATCCCAATGGAAAACCAGCAGGACTGTACTACTATACAAGAAAGGAGACATCCACGACATTGGCAACTATCGCCCAATCTGCCTACTGTCTGTCATCTACAAACTATTCACTCGAGTCATCCTGAAAAGGATTAGCAGAACACTAGATGACGGACAACCATGTGAACAAGCTGGATTCCGAAAAGGATTCAGTACCATCGACCATATCCACACAATAACCAAGCTCATTGAGGTATCTCGGGAGTTCAAGATGCCGCTCTGTCTAACGTTCATTGATTGTGGTAGGGCGTTAAGGGGTCAAGAGGTTCATGTGTGGGTACAAGCAGAGTGGAGGAATGGAATAGTTACGGATCCAGACCACGGAGTCAACAACCTTGAGAACACGAGATCCAAACTTCAACAACCAAAGTGAAAAATGTGTCTGTCCAGGTGGCAAGCTGCAGGGGTAGAGAGGGTAGGGACACAAGTGATGGGATTGGTGCCGGAACACTGCATCTTTAAAACTCAATTGTGGATACCTTTGTAAATCATGGTGCTTTAATAAAATAAAATAAAATAAAACCTGGGAAAAATGAGGACGGTGGTCCAGACTATGTCACAGGACTAGGACAAAATTATGGTTTATAATTATATGCCTGGTAAATTGTATTGGTGGTTACATAATCCAAGTGTTAAGTAAGCAAATACAATAAATTGTACTGAAATGAAAAAAAAAATAAAGAAGGCCTTTGATTCTGTTGAGACGGAAGCGGTCATGGAAGCCCTAGCCAATCAGGGCGTACAAACTCAATACATCAGGATCCTTCGTGAGCTCTATTGCGGATTCACTACCAAGATCTCACCATTCTACAAAGAAATAATCATCCATATCAAGAGAGGGGTTCAGCAGGGTGATACCATTTCACCAAAACTCTTCAGTGCCACCCTCGAGAACATCATGCGACGACTGGAATGGGAAGGAATGGGAGTGAAGATAGATGGTCGGCAACTATACCACCTCCGCTTTGCTGATGACATCGTTCTAATAACACCAAACATCAGCCAAGCGGCACAAATGCTGAACGACTTTGACCGTGAATGTGGAAAGGTCGGACTACAGCTGAATCTTACGAAGACAATGTTTATGAGAAACAGCCTTGTTCCTGACGCTCCATTCGCTCTCAAAGGAACCACCATCTCCGAATGCAACAGTTATATATACGTAGGTCGAGAAATCAACATGATGAATGACCTGGCACCTGAGTTGCGCAGGAGGAAGAGAGCGGCTTGGAATGCCTTCAAGAGCATTGAAGAAATAACTAAAAGGACAAAGAACCTCCAGCTACGAGCACATCTCTTTGATTCCACTATTCTTCCTGCATTAACATATGCCTCAGAGACCTGGACCCTACGAAAACAGGATGAGAACGCTATTCGGGTCTCTCAAAGAGGAATCGAAAGAACTATGCTTGGAATGTCACGATTCACTCAAATGAGAGATAGAATCCGGAGTTCTGATCTTCGTCAACGCTCAAGAATCAGGGACGCTGTCTCATTTGCCAAGACATCAAAAATCAGATGGGCTGGACACGTAATGAGGTTTACAGACAACCGCTGGACTAGAGCCATTACTGATTGGATTCCACGGGACATCAAAAGATCACGTGGACGCCCACCTATAAGATGGTCAGACTTCTTCGTCAAGA